TAAGATGGCAGCCTAGTCTAGTTTGTTTGCTCCGCTACCTACCCCTTTCTGAGGACTAGGAAGCGTTTTACAGTCTTCCCCTGCTCTGAGCACGGCCTTTATTTCTTCAAGTTCCTCTTCCCATTTGTTTTGTGTCTTTGCCATTCATGTTATAGACGTTCTTCAGATGTTGGCTGGTCCTTGGGTGTCCACTCATATTTAACAGTGGGCCCCCAAAAAGCCCACTGGAAGCTTCACGACAGGCAGTAATCTTCACTGCGGAGTGATCAAGTGGGGCCCCAGGTGTTGGGTTTGGAAGCCCCCAAACGTGGGCATCTGTACATATCTGCTCTCGGGCCTGTTTCCTCAGAGAGGAATCCTCCAACCTCCTGTACGGGGCCCGGGAGGTTGTGTTCGAAGCCCGACAGCTAAGAATTCTACAGCCTTCTCACGGCCTCACTGCTGAGCAGGCCCCGGTTCCATAAGGCGCCTCATTGCCATTTTCAGCTGTGGCCAGTGTCCCCAGTTCCAGCATTTCTCTGGGTCACCGCTTCCTTACAGTCAACCTGCCACCTTCTGTGGGGCTGAGGGGGAGCGGTAACCCAGGGCCCGGGCTGGCGAAGGGATCCAATGTCTCTGGTGACAGACTTTCAAACAATCTTTTTTTTTTTTTTTTTTTTTGTAGCCAGACTCCTGCCGTCTGAGGTACGTGGTGCCTCAAATGCCTGAGCCTTTCTTGGAGACCCACAGCACACCTCCTCGCAGACAAACGGCAGAGTCAACAGAAAGCTCCTCAGTGTTATTAGTCAGAATCGATCAGGCCAGGCTGTGGTAACGACCACTCCAAAATCCCCAAGGCTGAAAACGACAGAAGTGGATCCCTCTCTCATGCTACATGTCCCCAGGGTCATCAGGGAGCCCCGCTCATCACGGTCCCTTGGGACCTACGCGGGCAGAGGCTCTGCTGTCCTGTGACCCTGCCATCTTAACATGAGGCTTCGGGGGGAGAAGGCTGCTCTGAGCTGCTCCTGCCCGGAAGCAGCACCCTACATCACTGCTCCTGCCCGGA